TCAGACCTTATCTGCCAGAAATGTTCTTTTGAGATGAAGGGGTTTACATATGTATGCAAGTCCATCCTTCTATTCCTCGGCATGATTTTCTGAAGTGGTTTTCACCTTAGGAAAGCTATCTCCCTCTCCCATGAGTCTACTCAAGTCTTACCCATCCTTTGAAACCTAATTTAATTATATCAGCTTCTAATGCCTGTTTAGGTACAACTAGCCAGAAGTAATGCATTTATTGCATCATCGATCTGGCAATTAAAGCATTAAATACCCTGGGATATTTCTTATTCTTTTCCGCTGAACTTTTATTTAAATTATATACTTGTATTTAATTTTTACAAACTTTTGCCTGGTCTTAACCTAAATAGTTAGCTCTTTGAATGGAGGGACACTATTTTATACTGCTTTGGATCTCTTCATATTGCCTGAGTGGGTTCTCCACAAATATTATGTAAAATTTAATGATTTGCTATTACTCTATTGAGAATGAATTTTTTTTTTGTTTGCTTTTTACTTGGAGACAGGGTCTCATTCTGTCATAAAGGCTGGAGTACAGTGGCCTGATCACAGCTCACTGTGACCTTGAATTGTGGACCTAAGCGATACTCCTGCTTCAGCCTCCTGAGTAGCTAAGACTACAGGCATGCACCCCATACCTGGCTAATTATTCTATTTTTTTTTTTTTATGGAGATGAGGATCTTGCTCTTTCCAGTTCCAGGCTGGTCTAGAACTCCTAGGTTCAAGCAATCCTCCTGCCTCCGCCTCCCAAAGTGCTAGGATCACAGGCATGAGCTACTGCACCTGGCTGAGTATTGTTGTTGTTGTTTTAAACATTTTATTTGGTCATTTTAGAAAGTTAATGTCTACTACATTTATCATAATAGTTTGAAAATCTTTACATCTTTTATATAGAAAACATCTTTTTAAAGTGGGAGGTTTAAAATATTTCAATTTAAGAATCTATTAAAATGAATCTATATTATTAAAATGAAAATAATCAAAATATCTATATGAACACAGCCTGCATTTTACTCAAGTGTAATCTAACACTTTTTTCTTTCTCTGTAGGAGATGACTAATACTAATAGAGTTCTAGCTATATGCTAAGCACTGTGGAGGCCTCTTTATTTCATTGATTCCTTCTCATACTCTTTTTGGAGATGTGCTAGGAGGGTCTTTGACAATTCTACCTCTCAGACTATAGGGCTTTCTTCACCATTTGCCTTGTGATATTCCTTGGCTACTATAAGAACATGGACCTAGAAGGCTTGCTTTTTTATTTTTGTTAATGTAAACTTTACAGATTTTATCAAGTGGAGGAAATGAAATAATGAGCTGTTTTCTGATCATTGTATCTTCCACTGTGGTCATGAGAATTTCGACTTGCTTGTCACCAGTAATATTTTGATTATAAACTAAAGGAGTCTTCCTCTTAGTGCCCCAAATTAGAAAGTCAAGTTTGTGGTTGGATCTAATCATTGTCAATCATCTCAGTTTAAAAGATGGTGGGCAGACCCACCTGAGGGGAAGTAGCAAACAAGTCCTATTTGTACAGATTATTTGTAAACCAACACTATTTTTGTCTGCTTTCCTATAATTGGAGGCAGGGTATTTATGACTCAGTATATAAAACATTTTGAAGGAGAAAACTTCAAAATCGGGAGCTAAAAATTCAATGTATGTATTTTCTACTTAACTTGAATGGAAATGAAAAAAAGGACTTGATTGAGAAAATAACCTTGTAGATACGTCTCTTAAAGTTTTTAACTTTTCACTCATTGCTTTATGAAAACTAGTAATAATTTAGGACTTGACAAGTAGAATGAAATCTCCCCAGACTTTGGCCAAAACTTCCCTGAGAACAGAGACTCTTAAATATCTCCTTTTCACACGTGAGAAGCCTGACGTTCAGGGGAGTTAAGTTACTTGTGCAATGCTCAAGGTTAGAAATGGAAGTTGTGTCTGTTTCTTTCTACTAAGGCTTAGCTGCTGTAGCTATGCCTTTAAATGCTCAAAAAGCTTGATATTCATATAAACTTCAGAATTATTATATATACTTCACTTTCTTTCTGAGTTTTACTTATAATTTAGCAGGTTTTATTGAAGAGCACAGAAGACTAAACAAGTAAAATGTGTGTTCCTAGGAATCATAGCTAGTGCCTACTTATCTTTTACTTTTTATGATTATTATAAGTTTACAGAGATAGGAAATCTAATACAGATGTAACTACATCTCTATTAATTATCATGATGGGATTGAAAGTAGTGAGATAAAGACTAAAGCTTATTTTTTTCCTATGAAGAAAGCACGTGCATTGCTTACTGTGTTCTGCATGGCCAAATACACCAGAAAATGAGTATTTGAAAACAGGAAAATACAGTAATAATTCCCGAAACTGCCATCTACTGTGTGTTGGACCAATTTCTCTACTATTAGGAAAATCAAGGACTTGACCGGAAACCATCCCATGTGTTATAAGAGGTTGAAAATTGAACTTCTCTATTAGCAAGAATCAGTTTCAATGGAAATCGGGGACTTGTTGGACCATAAAGAATTGTTGGCATGAGAAAAATGTTTAAGTAGTTTGAACATTTGCCTGTTTCATTCAAAGTGCCCATGTGTATGGTTTTCTTTATGGAATGAAAAATGAGTGAAAAGAAAATTATACTATACTACGAAGGGAAAAAATGTGAAAACAAAAAGGAAACATTTTCAATATTTGCTGGGTTAAAAGTCAAAAACACATTATGGAATCTAACTTGGCTATATGTCATTGATGCACAAAAGCTAGAATTTAGTAGCATTAAAACTAGTCCATGAAAAAAGCAATTTACCAATAATATGAGGAAAAAATAAACTGAGAGGAGATTTTTTGATTTAGGAGAGGTTACATGTATAGTTGTAAGTCATAAGTTACAACAGGAAAGACAGCTATAGCATAAAAGAAATGAGCAAATAAGCAAGACTGGAGTGTATAAGAAAAGTAACTGAACATTTGTCCATTTTGCAAAATGTGTGAACCACAATTTTTGGTATAATATTTTAATGAGTACTCTGGATTCTAAAATATTCTAACAAAATTGTTATTTTATAGAATATCAAGGTATATCTTTGGTTAACTTTGTGTTACAATTCTGTGTGGATGTCGCCCATTTTATGACACCTTTAATCAAACCTTCTAGGCTACCTGTAAAAATAATCTCATTATTCTGACTATTCCAATATGTATACATATATATGTGTGAATGTATGTATGTATGTATGTATCATCTATCTATACATCCATTCATCTATCTTCATCTGTCCTCTGTCTATATAATCTATTTATATACATCCACACACCCACACAAATTTTGGACTAATCTATTTTCCAAACTTTCACTGCTTGAGCCTTTAAGCATCAAAGCTGTCGCCTGCCCTATTGTTAAATTCACTAGCCCTTATGTTACTTGTCCTGTTATTTCTTTCAATTTCTAAAAGCTATCCCTTTGGGAGTTATAAAGGTACTCATCTTGGTTAATTTTTGAGTACTTTGCCTTTCACTAAGGAGCTATTCTTTGAAAACCATCGCAATCAGTTTTCATTATTGCTGTTAAGTTTAAATGTTTAACCATTTTTTTTTTTTTTTTTTTTTGCTCAGCACTATATTATGGGTGCTAGACACTCAACAGGCATGGTTGCTGATTGTCTATGAAAGACAATCAGGAAAGGCTTCCCTAAATTAGCAAGATGAAGTGTTAGCATTTGGTGTGGAGGGGAAGATGAAAGTATTTTAGGCAGAGGGAAGCAACACAACATCTCTACTCCAGGAAAGAGTGTGACATAGTCTAGGAATTAAGAAATTCCATTTCTTAAAGATCAAGATTGCTCCCTAATGTTATTATGAGAGACTGATTTATGTAAGTCAGATACAAAATGTCATCTTATTATTTCATAATCACACTCTTCGACATGATTAAACATTTTTTCCAGTAAACTACTATTATTCTAATCTCCAAATGTCTTCCATTTATTAACAATTTTAACTTTTGGAGAGTTAAACACAAGTAGAATTTCAGGGAATATAGGAATAAAATGTTTGTATTAATATGTTTGATAATCTAGAAGTATTAATTTTTTTATCACACATATAAATATATTACAATAAAACATCCAAATAATGCAAAGGTGGATATAGCACAATTGGTGATTGGCTCCTGTACTCTTTCTATCCCAGTCTCTGTTTCAAAAATAGGGAAGAGAGAGCTAAAGCTTCATCTTCTGGGTGCTGGGTGAGGCAGGATAGAGAAACAGCAGATAGTCCAGTCTCAGGAAGCTAGGATATGGCAGGTAGTTCCTTATGTCCCTTTATTTTCCTGGCTTAATCTCTCCATCTTCCTTAACTAGGAGTTTCCTGGATTCCCTAATGCTGTTCTGGATCCCAGCCAGGGATTAAAAGAAGATGGCTCAGACCTAGAAGTGCCCTTAGCCCTTAGCCACAGCCCAGCTTGGGAGCGCCCACAGATTGCTGTGCTCTCTCGGAGGCGCTACTATAAGTTGCCCCAGCGGTTAGGACATTGTTGCTTACTAGACTTGGGGCCATTTCTTCTCTCAAATTTCCCTCTGGAGACGATGGTCTTGTGATATTCCTGAGAGTTTTGAGTGAGATGACAGGTACAGAAGGGAGAGGCTCACAGAGATGAAGTATGGATCTGGAACTGAGTTATGAACCTAAGCTCACTTGACTTAACTGCATTTGGCGCAAAACATCTAGAACATCTAGACAAAGCAGACACGGAGTTTAGAGTTAATAAATTAAAGCAATACTAAAAATAAAGCTGTGTTTTTTGTACTACTCAATTTTAAATACTTGTCTGTGTAATGTCAAGTATACTAGAAAAAGAAGAGAGTGGATTCAAATTTTATTATATGTACTTTTTTACTTTCCAAAAAGAAAACTGACTTTGAAGTTCCTAATTTTAGTTAAATTTGTGGACAGCAAAATGATTTGAAATTCTGCCTCACCTCGTTCACAGTAGATTCCAGTGGTTCCTAGAGGACAGTAACAGGTGTATCCATGAGGTAATGAAATGCAGGTTGCTCCTCTGCTACAGTTGTGTGGAGGGTCATGTTCAGGATCACAGGTGGAAACTGTCTCTGTGCAGAATGCTCCTTTCCACCCAGTGGTACAGTTGCAGCTGTGGGTTGAGAGAGAAAGCCACATGGTTTGAGCACTTGTGCAGAGATGGATACATACTTATGTATTGCCCTGATGCTAACATACCAATTTTAACTGAAGTTCCAAGAGATCAAAATTAATTGTGATTTGGACTACTAAGATCTACATTGTCAAAGTAATGAGTTAATAACTGGTTGTGGGATTACTGAAATCCACATCAAAGACTTTAAAAGATTCAGAGTGGAAAAATTGAAAGAGAATTTTTTGAGAATCATTTCTTTCGACAAAATTGCATTGTAAGTCTCTCTTCCAACTTCTACACCAGCAACCCAGAGAAAAAGCTGTGCGTGGTGTTGCTGTCTCCTAACCTCAAGCCTGGTGAAAAGAGATTTAGCAGGACCACTTGGACAGCTTGCTATGTGTTCTCTGGCATTGGCAAACTCACAGGCTCAGCTCCTGTGGTTGCAGAAGGAGCTGCAAACCTGCCAGACACAAGTCAAATGTGAGTGAATCCCAGGAAAGGGATTCATAGTCAGGAACATCAGCTTGAGGACATATAAAAATCGATCTTCAAGACCATCCTGGTCAACATGGTGAAACCCCGTCTCTACTAAAAATACAAAAAATTAGCTGGGCATGGTGGTGCGTGCCTGTAATCCCAGCTACTCAGGAGGCTGAGGCAGGAGAATTGCCTGGACCCAGGAGGCGGAGGTTGCGGTGAGCCGAGATCGCGCCATTGCACTCCAGCCTGCGGAACAAGAGCGAAACTCCGTCTCAAAAAAAAAAAAAAAAAAAAATCGATCTTGACCAAGAGGGGTCCTGCTGGCTAAAGATACGATACTTTGGCAGTAAGAGGTTTCTTGCCGGAGCAGAGGCTGAGGGGTAATGGAGAACACTCAGCTGAAAGAGAGACCTTGTCTGGGTTGAGAGAATCATATTGAGTGGCATGCAGCAGAAAACTTTCTGATAGACCCATCAAAAGTAGAGTTGTCAGATAAAACACAGACCATCCAGTTAAATTTAAACACAAGATAAACAATGAATATTGGTAGAAGTATGTCCTGATACGGTTTGGCTGTGTCCCCACTTAAGTCTCATCTTGAATTAATCCCCACGTGTTGTGGGAGGCACCAGGTGAAGAAAATTGAATCATGGGGGTGGTTTTTCCCATCCTGTTCTCATGAGAGTGAGTGAGTTCTCACGAGATCTGATTGTTTTATAAGAGGCTTGCTTCTTCCTTGGGCATTCTTTCTCCTTCCTGTGAAGGAGGAAATGTTTGCTTCCCCTTCCATGACGATCGTAAGTTTTCTGAGGCCTCCCCAGCCATGCTGAACTGTGAGTCAATTAAACCTCTTTCCTTTATGAATTACCCAGTTTCAAGTTTGTCTTCATTAGCAGCATGAGACTGGACTAATACATGTCCCATACAGTATTTGAATTTTAAATAAATAGTATTTGCGATATCATTGTTATATATCTTGTTGTTATATATACATATTTGATAAATTGTTGTTTGTCTGAAATTCAAATTTATCTGAGCACGCTGTGTTTATTCTGCCCTTCTTTTCTTCCCTCCCTGCCTCCCTTTCTCCCTTTCTTCCTTCCCTTCCTCTCCCCGCTGCCCCCCTCCTTTCTTTCCTCTTCTTGGCAACACTATACTAAGGGGTACATGAGAGAAAGGGTTAATTTAAAATTTCTGTCAGAGCCAGAGAGTAATAAACCACCAAAAAATAGTGCCAGTCTAAAAGGCACATTCTAGAATGGGTGTGAGGTGTAAGTGTCAGAATCTGCTAAGCTGGAGAAAGACAGCAACTGATTAAACCTTCCTAGATCTTTTATTCATGTCGTGGACTTTATATGCTTGTTGCATCTAAGTTAATAGTTGTGCAAAAAAAGTTTGGAAAATTGTATAGGGTTTTCAAAAGTGGAGACAAACAAAATACAGAGTCAATCTGCTACAAAATTACATATTTTGCAGATTATTTTGAAGATCACAAAGAGTATAAAATGTATAAAGACCTCTTATACAAAAAATAGAATGAGTAAATGATTTCAGAAATGAAATCTATAGTAAAAATTCTTGTTAAAGAATTTTTTAACAAGAATTAAAAAAAATTTAAAACTATAGTAAAAATTCTTTTAAAATAATTTTTAAATAAACACAAGGCTCTGTCATTACTTTTAAAAGTGACGATTGCACCATCTAGTGGTTGATTTTCTATCTACTTGAAAAAAAGCTTAAAAACAAAATTATTCTCACTGCCTTATAGACAGAACTCACAATGGTGAAATATTTATTTTATTTAGCTCACTTATACTTTATTGTATATATTTAAGGTATATAACATAGTGTTATGGGAATAAAATATTTGGTTGGATATTAAAGTAGATAAATCACATTAAGAATAATATAATGTAGGCTGAAATCTTTTTTGAAAAAATAACAAATGAATCAGAGACTCATAGTTTCTCTCAAAATTTTTAGGTCTGAAACAATTAGCCATGTGTTTAATGTATAATTAGTTATATAATTCTAATGGAAATGATTTCGTGCAAAGTCAGATTTTTCTTTTTGTCCCTTGGTTTCTTTAGCACCCTGGGAAATATAGATAATAACAAATTTCAAGCCTTTATTAGTTACTCTCTACTTTAGGTGATATTTTTCTAACCCTTGATGTTAGTTAATTTCTTCCCTTAACCACATATTCTACTCTGCCCTGAGGAAGAGTAGATTTTAGAAGTATGTGTGTGAGGTGAGGTGTCCACATAGTGGGCAATGTAAAAGCAAAACAAAGAGTGGTAGATATTTATTTAAAGAATATTTATGATTATTTTTTACAGTCTAGATATGTGTGCTTATCTTAGGACTGAGCATAGTACTGTGCTTGGCACTGAGATTTTACAACACAGGAGACTCCATTTTTGACCTTGTGGACTTCTGTTTTTTGGAGAAATCAGATTAGCAAGGAGACAATTTTAGTAAAATGGAACAAGTGCTAAAATGGGTATTATGAGAGCCTGTGGGATGAACACTTAAGTAATTTTAGTGAAATACTTAGGGAAAACTAAGGTAGGGTTTAGAGAAGGCTGCCAAAATGATGTTTGCCCGTACAAATTGAGAGGAGGTGTCAAAGGACTTTGAATAATAGGCTGAAACAGTTCAATTTTTTAAAAAAATCTATTTACTTTTTGTGGTTACATAGTAGGTACCCACAAATATTTGTGGGGTACATGAAATGTTTTGATGTAGGCATGCAATGTATGATAATCACATCATGGAAAACAGGGTATCCATCCCCTCAAGCATTTATCCTTTGTATTACAAACAATCCAATTATACTCTCTTATTTTAAAATGTACAATTAAATTATTATTGACTATAGTCACCTGTTGTGCTATCCAATACTAGTCCTTGTGCATTCATTCTCACTACTTTTTGTACTCATCCTTCTACTCTCTATCTCCGTGAGTTCAACTATTTTGATTTTTAGAGTCCACAAATAAGTGAGAATATGCAATGTTTGTCTTTCTGTGCCTGGCTTCAGTTCAACTTTTAAGTGATAGATATATAGAAAATGACATGAATAATGAGGCACATTTTAAGAATATTAATCTGTTATGTATAGGATGACCACATAATAATAAGCTCTCTGGTGATGTCGTGTTAATCTTAGTGAGATCTTAGCATATTTTTTGCTACTAAACAAGGGGCTGATGACCTTTTTCTGTAAAGTGCAAGGCAGATTACAGTTTTGCTCTGTGGGCCATATAGATATTGTTGCAGTAACTAAACTCTGTCATTGTTGAAAGCAGCCACAGAAAACACACAAATGGATGTGGCTGTATGCCAATAAATTTTAGTTACACAAATAGGTGGTCGGCCATATTTGACCCATATGCCATGGCTTCCTGACCCCAGCACTCTAGACTATTAATTCCATGACAGCAGAGATATTTGTTTTTTAGTATTGTCCCAAGGCCCCAAGAAGTTCTTGGTATATTGTAATTTTTAATTGACTATTCAGGGAATAAACACATAAATGAATAAATATAATAGGTAACAGCTGGGATCAGAAAGCAGATGGAGGAAAAAGTCCTGAATAGGAAAGTGGCTGTGGGGATGCAAAGGTTGAAGGTGTGAGAGGTATTTTCAACGCTTTGGTAAGTGTGCTGGTGTGAAAGAGAAAAAATTATAGTAATGACAAACATTATTTGAGGCTTACCATGTGCCAGGCACTCTTCTAACCTTTTTGGCTTTCTCTATAACCTTATAAGAAAGGTACTATTATTGTCCTCATTTTGCATAGAAGAAATCTGAGGAACAGAGAGGTTAAGTCTGCTAATGAGTGAGGAAGTCCACCCTTAGTTACCATTTTATGTCTCCCATTCCTTTGGAAATGTTGGGACCATGAAAGCGCACCATGTTGTTAGTGAAATAGGCACAACTGGATAGCAATATAGTAAAGGGAAAACATAAAGAATCCACTTTTATAGGCTTTATTTCTGGGGTACAAGTCTGGCTCAACATACACAAATTGATAAATGTGATTCGCCACATAAACAGAATTAAAAGCAAAAACGATATCATGACCTCAATAGATTCAGAGAAGGCTTTGATAAAATTCAACTTTCTTTTGTGTTAAAAACCCTCAACAAACTAGACATTGAAGGAACATACTTCAAAATAATAAAAAAAAGTCTATGACAAATCTATAACCAAACATCATCCTGAACAGGTGAAAGATTGAACCATTTTCCTTGAGAAGTGCAACAGACAAGGATGCCCACTCTCACCACTCCTATTCAACACAGTAATGGAAGTGCTAGCCAGAGCAATTAGGCAAGAAAAGAAAGAAAATATATCCAAATAGAAAGAGAGGAATTCAAGCTATCTCTCCTTGCAGATGATATAATTATATACCAAGAAAATCCCATGGACTCTGCCAAAAGTCTCCTAGAACTTATAAACAACCTCAGTAAAATTTCAGAATACAAAATCACTGTACAAAAATCAGTAGC